AGAAAGGTTTTTTCCTTTTCCCCACTTAACTAACAGGGCACTCAATCAGAGGGCACACAAATGATTTGCCTCGGGGCCTCAGAGAGGAATAATGACAGGTTTGTGGGGTCTCTGATGCAATTACAAGTAAGCTGATGGAAAGAGATTAAGGCTGCAATTTGGAAACATAAAAGGTTAATATAGGATAGATGTTTTGGACCTGAATTTGATTTCTGGGACAGCTGACCTGCACTAAATTCACGTTACTTCCAATTGAGAAGTATTATTTGTGTTGAGGCTGTGAGGTTCCTGCCATACCCTGTTAGCTGCCCCTGCCCAAGCCGTTCCTCGGAAACATCCAGTGAGATATAGTCTATCCCAGTCCTTTCTAGTTTGGTGGAAGCCACTGTATCAATGGTCCTCATTTCATAAACTGTTGGGTTTAGAAATAGGTTTTGTTGTATTATTCTTGAGAGAATGGCAATAAAACCCAAGAGCCATAACCACAGCAAAAGCCGCTGGTCTCCAAACTGGGGGGTAGCGGGGAGGATGTTTCTGTTAGTCCTTCTCTGCTGGATCACTTAGGTCCTTGGCAATGAACCGTCTCTCCTTCCCCAAGATGCTGGTTCTCATGGGCTCTGGAGCCATACTTCCTGGTTTGTGCCCCAGCCCCATGCAAACTCTGTCAGCTCACTTTACTTCTCTGAGTCTCAGTTTTCTCATCCTTCAAATGGGGACAAAATAGCACCTACCTTAGAGGATTGCTATGAAGAGTAAATGAAGAAATCTACCCACATACACACACAAATGAACAGTCTATTCTAAAATATATGTATATCGCAGAAGAACGCTAAGCACATTGTAGGCATCTGGGTAATCGTAGCTACGCAACATTGCTGATTTTTGTACACGACTACCCACCACATCTGTCAACATGCTCTCATTGAGCTCTATGTCATATTCTAGGAAAATTCCCATGGCTAACTTGGCTTATGTCTACTGCCCTGGTTATCTTGGCTCTGAGGCCAGGGAGCCTTCATGAAGGGAAGCCTCTGGAGCTGTGCTCTGCACACTGACATGGCCACTTGTCATGCTGTGTGCTCTGCTCTGCTCCATCCTTTATACACTGAGGTCATGTGCTGTTTTCCAAAGGAAACCTTTCTTGGGTCTGATGACTGGATTGGACCTTGATCTCATGTGCCATGCCCCTTGAAGGATGTGGCCTCTAATCAATTACTTCCTCCTGGTGCTGTATCTGTCTGTCAGCCCTGTTTCAGCTAATTGTCTTCCCTTTGCATCTGTTTCCCTTTTATTTCTGGTGCTTTACCAATAGCAGTGCTTGCAAAATTGCTTTTAAGTGCCTGTCTTCATGGTCAAACCATAATTTCTAGGCATGAGCCATGCCTATCTTTTCAGCTTCATATTTCCCTTGCCAAGCTCAGTTCAGGGCACAGGAACTATCTAAATTCACATTTATTAACCTTTTGATGAAGGCTGTGCTCAACCTTGCACTGGGTGCTGATAATATAGTCAGAAGGGAGAGCAAGAAAAGTTAAAATTAGAGAAACTTGAAGCCATGTAATTATGTTACTAAAAGTTCATGCAGTCATTCAACTTGGGCCTCATAGATTCCTCCTGAGGTAGGGATCTACTGGAAGTGGTAATGACTCTGCGAAGTTGTTCCTATTCTCCTGAGGGTTCTCACTGTCCAAAGGTGATCACCCAAATAGGTTCCAGAACTTGAGCAAAACTTGAGGACTTACCTGTTCAATCTAGATCCGCAAAGTCTCATGTTGTTGAGTGATTGATTCTTGCTTCTTGATCCAATTCCAGTTCCTGATTCTCATCCTCAGAATCTACATTGGACATATGTTCATTCCTCCATCTTGATCTGATTCACATCATTGGCTTGTGTGTGTTCCCATCTCTGACCCTCATCCATGCCCGTAGATACCTTCCTGTTCAAGACTCTGAGGTTGGCTTCCATTCCTGGCCATACCACTCCTGGCTACATGTTGAAATCCATTCCTCCATAGAAGCTTGACACCAGCTGTACAGAGGAAACCGTGAGAGGATGGCGACTTAACTTGGAGGAATGTACCTGGTACTTGAGAGCTTTTAAGATCCCTTCCAACTCTGAGGTTCTATATCAGAAGAGTAAAAAGTAGGGGTGCCTGGGTGGCTCAGTTGGTTAAGCTTCCAACTTCGGCTCAGGTCATGATCTCACTGTCTGTGGGTTCAAGCCCCACGTCGGGCTCTGTGCTGAGAGCTCAGAGTCTGGAGCCTGCTTTGGATTCTGTGTCTCCCTCTCTCTCTGACCCTCCCCTGCTCATGCTCTCTCTCTCAGCAATTAAAAAAAAAAAAGAAGAGTAAAAATTAAGTAAGGTGTATCATCCCAGTGTACCAGTCATACAAAGTGCTCAGTGAAAATCCATTTTATTTATTCATTTAAATTACTTTATAGTTTATTGTCAAGTTGGTTTCCATGTAACACCCAGTGCTCATCCCAACAAGTGTCCTCCTCAGTGCCCATCACCCATTTCCCCCTCTCCTTCACCCCCATCAGCCCTCAGTTTGTTCTCAGTATTTAAAAGTCTTTCATGGTTGGCCTTCCTCCCTCTCCCCTACTATTCCCCCCGCCCCCCATGGTCCTCTGTTAAGTTTCTCCTGTTCCACATATGAGTGAAAACATATGATATCTGTCCTTCTCTGCCTGACTTGAAAATCCATTTTAAAGTGATACAATAGTTTATAGTTGCAGAAATCTTACACATGTTTTTGTAAGTTAGTCCACATGTGTAGGAGACATTTACAGTCCCATGTCATGGATGAGGAAGAATGAGTCCCATAGATGTCAACTGATTTCCTCAAGGTCAACAGAAGTAGGAAGTGATGACATGTCAGCAGATGAACATAGATTTTTCTGTGTTTAAGGTTTATTTTCATAACATGGTTTAAACAGAAGCATTTGAAGAGAAGGAGGGAAAGAGATTTGGGGAGGGGAAAAAATGACCCACTCTACAACTTCCCAAAAACGTAAGAGTCTTTAAGATATTGTATAGTTTTCCAAGAACTGATACCACATACATACCACATTTAAAAGTGGGGGAAAGTCTGTAATAGCCGGAGGCCAAGAAGGCATGCTCACAGAAAGAGTTTCTTGCTCTTCTTTAATTATGCCGTTACAAAAAAAAAAAAAAAAAAAAAAAAAGGATAAGCATATATGTTTACACTTTTACCTATACTGGCAATTAAGATTGTAATCTGGATGACTACTAGAGCCTGTAATGAGATTATACTCTCCTATTAAAAGCATGATCCAGTGGTGTAATAAAGAACATTTCAGTTCTACTTAGTATGCTATTGGTCTTACGGGGAGGTGCTAAAAGGCATTTTCAGGGAGGAAGACCCACACCAGAATGTTACGGTGCTTGCAACATCCAAAGTACTTAGAATTAAAAGGTTGCTTTTTGGTATTTTGTATTTCTCCCTCCAATTCTGTCTTTCTGGATTTGGAGAATTTTTACTGTTTTTCCTTTCTTCTTTTGTCACCGTATTTCTGAAGGGAGGTGCTATAATTTCCACAAATAATAACCAGGATCAGCGGTGAAATATGCTCCCCTTTGATGCATTAGAAGGCGCTTGGTAAATTCTGTAAGGACCATAACAATAAAAGATCTCTTTGTTATTATTATTTGTTGGGGAATGTCATCAAGAAGACTGACCCCTAAGCTGGATCTGAGCCCTGGAGGCTCCTCACCCCCTCCCATGGCCTTGGAATGTGGGTTCCGCTTGCCCTTCCTGCTCCCAGAGGCTGCTCTGTTCTTTTTTTTTTTTTTTTTTTAATATTTTTATTTATTTTTAGGAGATAGAGAGACAGCGTGAGCAAGGGAGGGTCAGAGAGAAAGGGAGATACAGACTCTGAAACAGGCTCCAGTCTCTGTGCTGGCAGTCAGCACAGAGCCCGACGCGGGGCTCGAACCCACGAACCGCGAGATCACGACCTAAGCGAAAGTCGGACGCTTAACCGACTAAGCCACCCAGGCGCCCCGAGGCTGCTCTGTTCTAAGGACATGGCCTTGAGAGAGTGGTGTGGTGTTGACAACGCCTGCATGGTATACATGACTGTGCCTTGTTAGGGCCTTTGCTATTATTAAAACTGCCACTTACCAGCCTTGAGTGGCCTGTCTCTTTCTTCAGTCTCTACTTGCCCTCCAATGGAGGTTGGGTTCAGATTACACCTGGGAAGTTCCCAGTAGGGTTGGGGACCAACACTATAGTCCAGGTTTATTTTAATATTTATATCATGTCAAATATTATTATTATTTTTAGCCTACAGATGTCCAGTTGTAATCAAAATACACTGGTTTCAAAGCTTCATTGACATTGATCTTTTGTCTGGGAGCCATGTCTCATATTATACTTGGATTTTTTAATAAGTGTCCATAGTAAGGATTCTTTGAGGGCCGAATGGCGATAAGTTTATCTTGAACTGGCTGGCTAAAGAAAAAAAGGTTTTTTTCTTTTTAAGTCTCTAAAAAGATGCAACTAGTCTGAGGCATAACGATGTACAGGACTCTCTTAAAAAGTTCTTTGGGTCTCTCTCTCCCTCTACGTATGTCTTCCTCTCCCTCTCTCTCAACCTCTGTTTCTCTCTCTGAATCTCTCTCTTCTTCCCTTCCCCCTTTTCTTTCTTTCTCCTTCTGAATCTTTCTTTTTCCTTCCATCTCAATCTCTCCTTTCTCTCTGTCTCCTGAATCTTTGTCTCTCTCTCTCTGCCTCTGTCTCTCTCCTTCTCCACTTGGCTTTCCTGCGTGTTGTCTTCATTTCTAGGCCCCTTTTCCCTACAGTGGGTCTGAATACCCTCCAGGAACTCTGAGCTTAACTTTCTGTCTACCATTGAAGGTGCTCTGCACAGAGAACAAAACTCCCCTAAGATTTCTGCAAAAACCCTTATTTTCCAGGCTTGAATGACATACTCCCTTACAGCCATTCTTTAAGACTTACTCTTCACTGTGCAGGCCTGGGCCATAAGAGCATCCCGGGAGTGGCAGAGGAGAGCCAGCCTCACCCGACTCCCATGGACCGAGAGAGAAGGGGAAGGAGTGGTTCTTCAAAGACAGAATGTCACCAGAGGGGAGATGAGAAGCAGACAGCCCTCGTCCACAGATGTCCCCTAAAGTGGCTGTATCTAACGTCTCCCTGGGCGCAGCCTTGATGAGAAGGTCACCACCTCTTGCTGCCGCCTGTGTTAATTCCTGGACAGCAGTGAATCTCTGGAAATTCTTCATGCCATTCAAACAGAATCCTCCTGAACTTCCAACCCTGGTTCCAGTTTTAACCTCTGAGATCACACCAAACAAACCCAGCAACTGTTTCGTGGAATAAAGCCCTTCTTATGTGGAGACAACAGGTTTGCCTCCATGAAGGCTTCGTTCCAAGCCGAGCCTCCTTTGTTTTCTCAATGCTTTCTCTTTTTTATTTTATTGTATTGTATTGTATTGTATTGTATTGTATTTTACTTTAGTTTAGTTTAGTTTTAAGTTTATTTTTGAGAGAGAGAGAGAGAGAGAGAGAGAGAGCAGGCAAGGGGCAGTGAGAGAGGGAGGAAGGGAATCCCAAGCAGGCCCCATGCCGTCAGCACAGAGCTCTACTGGGGGCTCCATCTCACGAACTGTGAGATCATGACCTGAGCCGAAATCAAGAGTTGGATGCTTAACCCACTGAGCCACTCAAGTGCCCCACTCATATTTTAAACTAGAGTTACTCTGATATCTTTCTTTCTCTATCTTTTGTCATATTTATCCAATCACCAAGTTCTCATTACTCTGCCTTCTAACTAAGTTTCTATGCATATATTTTTTTTCCTTTAAGCATTGTTTTTATTTATAGTCTGCAATCAGCCTGAACACAGCCCTAATCTTGGGATGTACCCTAGACATTCTGGGGGGACAGTAAATCTATGACTCTTATTTTATAACTATATGGCTACTATAAAAAGACATGCTTTAATTCCATTTCTTCCTAAATACCTTATTTGTTTAAGCTCAGTTAGTTATGTTGATTCTGGAAGTTTACCATGATAAACCATTAGCTGCTCCCTTAATATAATTTCTGGAGGTAACCAAAAAGCTTTGACTTCCTAAAAAAGCCAGATCTGACTTTTACAATTAATTTTTTTTTCTTTTAAATATGAGTATAGTTGACACACAATGTCTAAGCCTATTTTTTAGTTTTATTTCTCCCATCCTTCTCTTGTATCCAAGTTCATGTACCCACAGAGTTGACATATGATTTCTATCTTTTCCAAACTTGTCAGGGTCTGCTCTGGAACACTGGTTTCTCAATTTTCATCTTCAGTCAATTTGGTTGTGTAGAACAGGAATTCACTAAAGATCCAGTATGTGCCAGGTCCTGCCCATAGGCATTCAGCAAGTTGAGGAAGAAAATTTTATCTATTTTATTCCCTATTATATCCCATATGATAGTTCAGCAAAAAGGGAACCTAACCCAGGCTAGGGTAATAGGAAGCTGCGTGAAGGAAGTGATATCTGGATTGAGTCTTGGCATAGTGAAGGAGGAGCAAGAGAAGATTTTGGAGAGAAAACTGTGTAATCAAAGACATGGAGGAATGAGACACAGAAGACAATTAGCACTTCTTGGCCCCTTAAAGACTGAAACAGAAGCTGGGTTCAATGACAAGTCATTCCCTGGCTTATCAGTGCCCCTGGGGATCCCTTTGTGAATGCATATTCTACAGGAGCACTCTCCCATTACTCTTTAAAGTTCAAGTTTTTCAAAATTCAAGTCCAAGATTCTCAAAACTTTATTTTCTCTTTATTATTATTATTATTATTTAAATTTTAGTGAGTTAATATACAGCGCAATATTGGTTTCAGAAGTAGAATTCAGTGATTTGTTACTTACATACAGCACTCAATGCTCATCTCAACAAGTGACCTCCTTAATGCCCATCCCCCATCAGCTCATCCCCCCCACCTTCTTCCATCAACCCTTAGTTTGTTCTCTATCATTAAGAGTCTCTTATGGTTTGTTTTCTTTTCTTCTTGTCACACCCTCGATATTAATCTATTTTGTTTCTTAAATTCCACATATGAGTGAAATCATATATCTGTCTTTTTCTGACTTATTTTGCTTAGCATAATATATTCTAGCCCCATCCAGATCATTGCAAAAGACAAGATTTCATTCTTTTGGATGGCTGAGTAATATTCTGAGTAATATATATATATATATATTATGTACACACACACACAGACACCACGTCTTCTTTATCCATTCTCCATTGATGGATATTTGGGCTCTCTCCATAGTTTGGTTATTGTTGATGATAATGCTGCTATAAATATTGGGGTGCATGTACCCCTTCAAATCTGTATTTTTGTACCCTTTGGGTAAATACCTAATAGTACAATTACTGGATCATAGGGTAGTGCTTTTTTTAGGTTTTTGAGGAACCTCCATATTGCTCTCCAGAGTGGGCTGTATCAGTTTGCATTCCCACTAACAGTGCAAGAGGGACTATGTTCTCTTGTCAATAAGTTTCAGCCAGTAATTACTAAACACATTCTGTAAGCCAGACACTTTGCTAGCATCCATAATTTTATTAGGCTCTCATAACAATCCTGTGAGCTATATCTTGGGTTAGGCACAACTAAGTATCCCCTAATTTCCACTCCCCACTATTGACATAGTGGTAAAATTTTCCACTCTAGATACATAGCTGTCCAGAATAACACTAAATTTTCCCAGCCTTCCTTGCAGATACATATGGCTACGTGACTAAGTTCCAGTCAATGGGATGTAAGCTGGGGTGTTAGCTGCATGTTTCTAGAAACTTTCCTTACTAGAGATGGGTATAAATGTTTCGCCCCCGTTATGCATTCATTTCTGTTGATGTGAATGTATGAAGGCAGGTGTTGGATCAGCCTTCTTAAACTAAGGGATGATTTTGGAAATAACGTCCCCTTGCATGGAGGAAGAACAAGATAGGAGGAACTTAGGCTCTGAAATCTCTGTAGACAAGGCTGTCAAAAGTCCTTGACTGTCCACCTCTGCATCTTTTACAGATTAGAGATATAAATGTCTACTATGTTCAGACCACTGTTATTTTTGTGTCTCTCTTCCTTTTGGTTGAACTGATTATCTCCATTTTACAGATGAGAAGAATGAGGCTCAGAAAAATTGAAGTATCTGTCCACAGTGTCTAGCAAATGTTTGAGACATAGGCATTCTGATTTTAAGACCATTGTTCTTGTCACTATTCCAGACTGTTTCACTTGCTATGATATTTTCCTATTCCACTTCAATTAAATTATGATTGCCTAGGGCTGGTCTTCGACACGTTTTGACCTAGAAGTCTTTTAATATTGATGTGATTTAACTCTAATTTTCAGGAACTAGCTCTTGGGTTTCTTTACTTCAGAAACCCAGGAGCTGAAAGATTAGTAGGACAATAGGGTAAGGAATGTTCATTAGGCACCATGACAGCAAATTTTGTTATCTGCATGTTATAGTACAAACTATTGTTTATCCAATCATCTTTTAATTAATTAGCAATTAAAGTTGGTAAGGATGTGAAGATGCCCGTTAATAAAGCTGGGCAAATTGTTCTCATGGTCTGAGGAAAGATGAACTTCAATTGTTGCTCTCTTTTTTATTTAAAGTCAAAATCAGTTACCTTTCTTATTATAATTTATTGTTCATTTTTGCCAATAGTGCTCAGGGTGGCAAATAACCTGACAAAAAGCATGAAACCCATGTCCTCATCTGAGCTACGTCATAACCTTCCTCTGCGACCTTGAGTAGCATGTTAATCTTAATTGCTAGTTAAGATGACACTCAAAATAACTGGGTAGTCAATGGAGGTAAATTGTTTTATCTTATCCTAAGACAAAATCATATATGCATAAAATAACAAGGACCTAAAACACGGTTTTCTCTCATGTCCTCATTTTGGGAAAATAAAAACACAAAGAAAGAAAACTGTAGTGAGTGTCAAATATTTCAACTGGATGGCCACCCAAATTGTCCTATATTTTAGTTAAACTGCAAGACATAACTCTGTTTTCTGCCTTATTTAAATGAACTCTTAAATGCTTTCTCCACACACTAATGAAAGCATTGCACTATAACAAATATATTAAAGTGTTTTCATGAGATGTCAGTAGGTGTCCTTAAACAAAATGTGTTGACTACAGCACGCATCCTTCCTCTCAACCCTCTTTAGTTAGCAAGGCGGAACATAGTCCAATTAGACTGTACCCATCACGAGCTGAGTCTGATCTAGACAAGCTACAGCCTTTGCCATTCTCCTTCATCTTCCTGCCCCAGAAGCAAAACTTTCTCAGTCCCCTGGCTTATGTAGCTTTCTCCAAATGGAAGAGCTTCAACCCTTGCCCAATCCCAACCTGACTCTTACTCTGATGGTCTCTGGTCTCATCTCTCTGCAAAACCATTTGCTCATTTTGTCAAAGCCTTTCAAGAATCCAGTAGGTACTGGATAAATAGCTGCAAAAGGAATAAGCAAAAAGTAGGTGGCTGTGTAATTCTAAACCTTTGCTCACTTTTTGGGCCCTGGCATGGTGAGGTGTGCCTACCCATTCTGAGCCTGGATTCTGTGGCTAGAATTTGCTCATAATGACATCAAGGCAGACTGGATAGAAGGTATGATAAATACCAGTTGGTGATGTATTGAACATTGGAGATAAATACTCTCTAAAATGTAGAGGTTGGGGGTTTATTAGTATTTGGGGGTACTGCTGCTCTCTAGGTCTTGGATCAATTTGAGATATTTGTGATTCCAAAAAAGAGAAGATAACACACTTATAAGAATAGTGAAAATCCCAGACACTGATAATACCAGATGCGTGTGAAGATGTAGAACAACAGGAACTCATATTCACTGCTGGTGGGATGCAAAATGGTACAGCAATATTGGAAGACAGTTTGTTTCTAATAAAACTAAACATACTCTTACCATATGATCCAGTAATTGTGCTCCTTGGTATTTACCCAAAGGAGTTGAAAACTTAGGTTTACACAAAATCTGCACACAGACGTTTGTAGCAGCTTTATTCATTTTTGTCAAAACATGGTAGCAACTAAGATGTCCTTTGGTAGGTGAATGGATAAGTAGACTGCAATACCTCCAGACAAAAGAATATTATTCAGTGCTCTAAAGAAACAATCTATCCGGCCACCAGAAGATAGGGGGAACCCTTAAATGCTTATTACCAAGTGAAAGAAGCCAATCCCAAAAGGCTAAATACTCTATTATTTCATTTTGGAAAAGGCAAAACTATGGAGACAGTAAAAGATCAATGGTTTCCAGTGGCTGGAGAGTAGAAGGGACAAATAGGTGGATAACAGTGGAATTTTGGGGCAGTGAAACTATTCTGTGTTATACAATGA